TGATAGGACATCCCGGACCTCTTGTCACGTGCCACTTGTGAGTTCCTCATCCCCTCTTTATGGTCTTGGCTCAGTGAAGATTTGTGTAGATGGTTCCAAGGATAAGGGAGGTTGGACTGCCACATTCCTACACGGTGGATTTAGAAAAGGGTATGTCACACTCTAAATTTTGAGAAAAATCTTTTATTCAAAACAACACATACAATTCCTTCTCACTCACTTGAAACAAAGAGTTAGTAGATGGGAACCAAGGATGAAAACAATTGTAAATATCCCAGAATAGCTGGGATGCAAATGGAATAATATAGAAAAAAACCCCAAGCAACACAAGCTTATTTGAAGCCTCCTTAATCCTGTACGGGTTTCTGTATGAGTACTGCAATTGCTTCAGGAATATAGGCGATGCCAAGATCTTTGCCATCCTTAAGAAATTAATGGGAAGGAATTGGAAAATTTGGTGTAAAGTAGCTTGGAAAATTTCCCTGGTGCCCACAGTTTGAGTTATTTTGAAGCCTCTGGTAAGTCTGTGAGCCACTGAAGTCATATAGAAGACTGTCTAAGATGCTCAAGCCCCCGCTCCCTGAGTCATTGCAGGGGCCAGGCCACTGCTTGGACTCACCCCAGAGCCCCTCCATCTAGAGCCCCTGCTTGTCAGCACACATACCATGCACTGGAATTTGCAAAGTCTCTACAAAGCGTACTCCACATTCTCGACATCAAAGGAATCCTTTTGCTGCAGAACTGGGACTTTTACAACTCCATTCTGCTACATTAAAAGGACTGTATTGAGGATCATCACCATTTGTGCGACTTTCTTCTTGTGTGCTTACCTGGGGTTAAGCAAACAACTTATTTTTATATGGCCCTCAAAACCAGCTTGAAAGCACCAGAAAATCAGCTGCAGTGAGCTGTGTTCTGCTATCAGCAGCAAAACAGAAGGAGACTTCAACATCTGTGATTTTATTTAGAACAACTGTGCCTAGGACAATTACTACAACTGCTGGTAGACAAGCACAGAAATCTCTGAAATTTCCCTGTTCAAATTCAGCTCAGCAGTCCAAAATGACTGATGTGACCATCTGATGGTCACCCACATAAAAGAGCTCTAACAGAGACTCTCCACCAAGCAGACTGCTATCACCAGTACATCCTATTGGCTGTGTGGATAGCAGAGAGCATCCCTGCCACAGCTGCGGGGATTTTTCCTTTGGGATGGACACACCTCACAATGCTGCTGTTCATGTTTTATTTATTCTATGGCTAAATTCACAAAAAAGGTTGGGAATAATACTTGTAAGAAAGAAAACAACTTCCTGATGAACTCCAATCTCATCTGTCTAGAAGAGAAACACATGTTCTTGGGGATGGGGATTGGCTTCAATATGTCCGCCTTTGCAGCAGCAGAAAGATCTCTTTTGTTCTTTATGTCTTAATTGATGTCAGGCTGTGACACAAACTGCACACAGCAGGTTTTGGGACCAACACCTTTCCTATAGCAGGATTTAGAATGTTTATAAAACATGGGATTGCTCATTCCTAAAATCAAGGAAATTAGTAGAGCTTTTAAATGTGAGAGATTAACCAAAACATAAAAAAGAAAGAAAAACCTTGTATTCATTAATCCCTTCTGGTGTTCGTTTGATGTCTTTCCCAAGACCTGTTCTGGCTGTCTGTGCTCTCTGATTCATGTTAAGCAGCAAAGACACTCAGTCTAGATGCCCAAGGTTAGCAGGCTGAGGGCCATCAACTTCAGCTTAACAGTACTTGCTTTCTATGGAATTTTTTGAGTTGTGGATATTCCAGCTAAATTCTATCTGGAACTGGCAAATTCCCAACTTTGGATGAGAAGTGCAGGCTTTGCAGGGCAAAGCCATGAGAATAATTTAAGCCTGCCTTAGAAATTATTGTTTCACACTTGTCAGCAATCTGTTGCCAGGGTAGACTGGACTGAGTGTGTGTGCTTTGGTGTGTGTTCAAGGTGGAAAAACCACACAAAACACAACTGGCTCCCAAAGTGTCCCTGCTGCTGTTTCTCAAGAAGCTCTGCCAGAGCTTCTGGCATCAGTGCTGCCACCACTGATGTATGCAGGCTCATCATTTGAACTGCAACATTTTTAAAGCTGAATTTATACAGCTCTTTGCTGTGATGAGGAGTGTTTCAAAGGTCCCCTCAGCCCAAAGGGGATTTGCAGAGCTCTTGAAATTCCGTGTTTTATTAGAAACATACAAGATACTGCTCCCTGTAAATTCAGGCAAGTGCCATAATCAGCTCTTTAGGAAAGTTCATAGAGTCTGGAGGAAAGGAGATGGGTACAAAAGGAACACATTCTTGTTTATGTTGTAGTAACAAACTGCCAGTAGTTCCTTTTACAACATGCCAAGGCATCACAGACTAGCAGTCCTGCAGGGCTTGGCTGGTGACAGCTGTGGTTGTGTAATGATCTACCAGGGCATGAATGAGGGCCTGCATTTTGCTCTTCTCCACCTTAGTTCTGGAAGGAGGAAAGTGTTGAATCCAAGGATCGCTCTCATCTCTGCTCTTTAATAGCAGTAGCATTCCTAGAGGAAAAAAATCCTACACAGCAGAGGTGGGAACCTGTCTCAAAATGCTGCTTGAGCTGAAATATGTGGATTTGCTGCGGGCGTTCGGCAATTTTCACAAAATCACAGAATTTCAGAAAAAGTATCTTACTCTTTCACATACTCTCATTCAGATTGAATAATTCTCCTGTAACAGCCTAAAAGCTTGATTTTGAGCTGTTTTTCATTGAGTCTGCCTTTCAAAATCAACAGCTTGTGTCAGAGTAGTACTGGGCCCTTTACTTGCCTAAGGCATTGAGCACCTTTTACCTCTGCACACAGTTGTCATGACAAATCATTCCTATTACAAGTGTCTCATCTTCTAATTCGCATTCTTCTCCACTTTTTTATTAAGTGTTCAGACTAGTCCTGCACACAGGAGCGGTTTCAAGTGGTGGTGCCAGAGGGATCTGTCTGAAGAGGGCCTTTGCTGAATGGTGGCCCTGGCCAGAAGGGCTCCTGGCATATTCCTGAAGAGGGATCACCCAGCGTGATACAGGGTGCCGTGACAGACCCAACCTGCGCTCCTTGTCCCTCCTTGTCCCCCTTTCAGTGAAGTGTCCCCGAAGAGGGAGTGCTACCCTGTCACTTGGGATTGCCCCGGGGATGGGAAACATCTCCCATTTGGAACCAGATGATGCCATCAAATGTGTACAGGGACACCGTGGCCAAAATCAATCTCCAGGAACAAAATTCAGGGATAAAGTGGAGGAAGGCCTAAGTTCCATGATCAAAAATGTCCCTCAATGTGACATGTCTCTAAGAAGGGACCAGGAATGAGTGTCCATTTCCACAGCACTGACTTCCCCATAAGCCTCCAGGTTTAAGAGAGGGATAAAACCCATCACACCTGTGCTGGCCATTTATGCCTTACACTACCTCCCACATCCTCCCTGAAGTCAGGCAGCTCAGAGTGCTCGGCCTTTTCTACAGCTGCAAAACCCTTGTTCAGCATTCTTATCACTTTTCTGTCCTAATTTGATTTTCTCTTTGCCCCGAAATTAAATTTTCCAGCAAATTATCCCAGCTGCTCGCAAGCATCCCCCGAGCGCTGGCAGCGAGGTGCGTTCCTTTGTGGCTCAGCGAGGAGCGACGGACACGCAGGCCGGGCCCTCTCTGCGAGGGAGCTGCCCCGCCCGGCCTGGCGGTAACCGAGCAGGGCCCGCCCGACGCGGCAGCGCCGGGGCCCCTCCGGCGGTCCCGGAGGGTGCGAGCCCCGCCGGCAGCGCCCGCCTGAGGGAGCGGCGGGGCCGGGCGGGGCCGCGCAAGATGGCGGCGGCCGCCCCGCGCCGCCCGGCTTTGTACCGCGCTGCGCCCCGCGCGCCGCCCGCCAACAGCGACACCCAGCGGCGCCTCGGCGTGACGGGCGCGCCCCGCCGCGGGGCCCGGCCGCGGGGACGAACGGGCGAGCCCCGCCGCGGGGCCCGGCCGCGCCGGCTGCGGCCGCCCGTGAGCGCCGCGGGGCTGCCCGCGCTGGCGGCTGCGGGCCCGCACCGGCACCGCACAGGGGCCGTCATCACCGAGCCGCTGAGCGCTTGGCTTGTGAGGGAACTTGGCCTCTCGAACCCAACTCCCCTGCACTTTCCACTACACCAGCGTGTGCGCCCTGAATGTTTTCAGGGATGGGACGTTCACCACCTCTCTGGCCAGCCTGTTCGGTGCTTTACCACCTCATCATAAAAACTTCCTTATATCTAATCGAACCATTACCCTTTGTACCTTTGTTGTCCATTACACCAGACCCTGCTAAAAACTTTCACCCCATCACAATCTGCTGCTCTGAAGTGCAGTAGGTGGTGGGCTGTGACAATCCTGCTGACACTTTTTGAATTCTCTGGTTTTGAAAACCTAAGACCTTTGATATGAGGGCTATTTTCCTTCATCTGTTTAGGTATTTGTATATTTTGCCCAACAACAATATGTTTACAGTTGCATATTTCTAACACTGCACATTTGATGTTTGCATTTGCCTGACCCTATTTGTGTAATATAAAATAAAGACTTGTATTACTTGCTGTAATACAAGTCGACCTAATGGATCAGGTCAGGTAATAACCAGTGAAGGCTGATGAGTCTGCAGAGAGTATTAAGAGGGTGTATAGAAGAAAATTAAAGGATCACTTATATAGCAATTACTGTAAAAAATAAACATCTGCAATTTCCAGGAAATTCAGAATCCCCATGAAGTTTAGTACCAGCTCTCACTCATTCCAGGATGAGATGGATTTGACAGCACTGAGTTTGACTGAGGAGTTTGCTTTGCTTTCTCAGCCTCCATTTTTACAAGTCCCCAGTGTCTAATAATGCAGCTAGTCTGGGTTTCTGTTTTCTGTTGGAAAAAGTGTCCTCAGGTGACAGACAGCTCCATGCATGCTCTGGAACTCAGTTGTTCTAAATACAAATCAAGCTTTGATTCTGTGTGCTTTTCAATAAGCTCTTTATTGGCACCTTTTCCTACTGAAGTATTAGTGGGAGCTTTATTGTCATCAGCTGCAATATTGTCTACTATTATGCCAGCGAGTTCACTTGGATTTTTAGTTTTTATCTTCCCATGCGTGTCAATGGCTCCACAAACATTTTCCTGGGCTGGCACCTCCCTTATTGTCTGCTGCTCGTGTCAGAGCAATCACTGCTGTAAAATTTCCTTTGGCTGAAGGGTTCTATTTTTCTTCATTAAAAATTATAATTTAAAAAGTTTAAATAATTATTGTACTGTTCCACTGAGATTTTTGTTTCTACTCACAACGTTGAAGTCTTACCAGTGTCTCATCCAATTAGTCCTCTGTACCAAATTCATTCCCCTCAGAAGTATGCACAATCCAAAGGGAACCAGTTTTCTCTCTCAGCCTGTGCTAGGTCCTGTGTTTCATAGGCAGGTCTCCAGGATATGTTTGCTTTCTGCAGCATCCAGCTCCCTCCAACCAGCACCCTGAGCTGAGGGACTAACGTGGACCCACAGCATGGCAGTAATGGATGAGGTTCCACGGCTACAGCACAAGGATGCAGGAGAGGGATTAATGGAGGCCATTGCTCCACACGCTGAATCTATGACTGATTTTTATAACATTTTCTTCTTATGAAGAAGAAGAAGCTTTATCTTCTTCCTCCTTTTGAAAAACTGTAGCCTGTATCTTGGTCTCTCGGTGGAGTGTGCAGTCTTCACTGTCTGTCTGTGTGGTTTGTAATTAGCCATCTTCACCTAGAGTAAAAGGAAAGCTGTTAAGAGTATAGGAAACCAAACTCAGAAATAAAGGCAGCCTGTCTTCCTTGTATTAGCAGGGAAAATTCACTCTATTTCAGTAAATTTGCATGTGCGGGGAGATGCTCATTGCTCCAGTGCTTCAGGCCGAACACTTTCCTTAATTCCCTTTTACTGGTGTTACCATGGCTGTTTAAGCCCAATTAACACCTCTTGGTTTCATGGGGAATAAGCCCCCACCTCTGTTGGAATTACCGGGATTGCAGGCTCAGGGCAGCTCACCCTGAACCCCTGAGTGCTCATCACCCTCTGCACACTTCCTGCAGTTCCTCCTCAGCCCAGAGCCTGCTCCAGCCTTGCTGCCAATGCTGAGAGTGAGGGATAACAGTGTCTAGTTCTGGTAACTGATGCTAGCTTTTTAAAAACTATTTTAGTACTATGGGATTTGATGCTACTGCAACTTGATAATAATAGAAACCAGTGATACATGCAAGTGTTTGCATTATAGGAATTATTTCAGAACAGTAGGACAGAAATGGCCCTTTTCTCAGCCCCTTCAGCTTATTGAAACTGGTTGTCTTTTCTGGCTTTTCTTAGTACACCATAACTGCTATTTACATATAATTTATTATAAGCACATGTTGAGTAATAGACCATCAAGCTTTTAGAGCTTCTATTTTCAGTTACATTGTACTGCTGCTGAATAAGAAATGCAACTGCTGAAATTTGTTTTCAATGGTATGTTGATTAAAAGCTGCTTGAGTTTAAAATTTTCAAACATCTAAAATGAAAACCCTTCATATGCTTCATGTCCCTGGCCAGCCAGAGCGTTTATTTTCTACAGTGTGTAAATTATGGATTTTGTTGTTTATATGCATCCATCATCAAACTAGGTTAAATTCTCAATTGTCAGTGTGAATTGTCGTGCAGTGAAGCTAACTAGCTGGAACTAATTTTGAAATGGGTATAGTGCATAATTATGGTAACCTAGTGTACAGGGACTGATCTACCTGAATCAGTCATATCTGATGAAGAAACACATGAACAAAAATTACATTGAAAACATGGCTGCCTGCTTATAAATGAAATCAATTTTTTTCAGAGATTTAAATTCCTTTACTTAGCAGAAAACAAGTGTCAAAGTTGAATATATTTCACACTAGGTTCTTCAGTGAACGCTTTAAGCAAAACCATTGGCAACAGTTTATGGAGAATTTTGCCTCTGGAGAGGGGGAAAAGATGTCCATGGAAAAAGTGAAAAACTTCAATCGAACTTCATGGTTTTAAAATTGACTTGGTCAATTCTTTATTCTTGGTTATTCTTTAAATAATTTAAGTTTCCAGGACTAGGGAAATATTAGCAGGAAAGAAAGTAGCAATGTTGGTTTCCTTCCTAATGAGGATGTTTTTCATAGAAAGGAGGTTTCCAGCAGAAGGATTCAGCAAGGATGAACTTAGCAGTGAAGCATTGGAGGGAAATAGGTGAAAGACATGGAAGGAGGTATGAAGGGGAAGATAATTTAAGAGGATTAAATACCGAGAGATTTGCCAGTCGTGCTGGAGTTTGTGGATATCTGAACTAGAGAGGGACTGGGGGAAGGGATGAAGCCTTTGAACACAGAGAAATTTATGGACCTCTGAAAGCAGAGATAAAGATAAGGCTTTTCAGAGATGGCTGAAGATGAAAGATACACAATTAATCTAACTTTGGGAGATATATCTAGCTAAGGCAGCTTCAAGATTTAAAACTTCTGTTGCTGCTGCATGACACGTGTTACAGCGTTGTGTCTCCCTGGGAAGAACTCTGTGGCTGGATGAAGAAGGATTCCAATTACCTTGCCAGCTCCATGCCTTGCCAGGTTCATACTGTTTTTCCAGTGTTATTGGCCAACCATGAGCTTTCTGACAAACCAGAATAGTCAGGCTTTGCTATACTGTTATTTTTTCACCTTAAAAAGAGAGGAAGAAGCACTTGAATCTAATATTTACTGTGAATGTAGCTCATCAAAAGCCCAGTCACTGAAAGGCTCTGTAGGTGTCCAGCTGCTGGTTTGTTATTTGCATGCAGTGGTAAGACAGGTGCTGAGACTTTAACTGGCCCTCAAGTAACAAAAGTACTTCTCTAAGAGCAGCTATTGTTTATTTTATTTTTATGAATGCCAGGGTAGTGAACAGCATGGGAAGAAACACAAATCAGAATGTAACATCTTTACAAATATGCCCAAATCATCTTGGGGAAGAGGAAATTGTAGACTGTGCCCAGCTTGGCTGAGCTGGAATGGATCAGAGAGGTTGGAGTTCAAACTTTTGCAGTTGTGGGTTCATAGGTTTCTTAAGGAATTCTTCAAGTTTGTGTTTGAAAGCCACAGGAAAAAGCCACATTCCTCTCCTACTGAGGAAATTATTCCTCAGATTATGATAATTCATGATCAGTAAGCATTTCTTGATACTCAGTGTATGTTTTTACTTCGCAGTTGCTCTCTGAACTCTGACGTTCCTTGAGAATACTGCTGAAAAATGCCTTTCCTTCACCGGTGGTCTTCTTCAAATATTAGTAGGCTGTTATCATGTCCCCCATTAATCATTTCTTAGCCAAGCAATTTATATTTTTAACTCTTCTAATGTCTCCTCATAAATCAATCCTCTTAGTCTTTGGATCATGTTTGGTGCTCTTCTCTGAGCTCTCAAATTTGTCAATATCCAGAAATGGGTATAATATTCCAGATGGAGCTGTACCAGCAGCATGCAGAAAGTGGTATTGGTTCGTTTCTCAGTGATATGACGGTATTTACCCTATTTCATACTGTGCTGGCCTTTTCACACCACAGCACGTTACCAATTCATGTCATTTAGCCCGAGCTATCTCCCTACATCTCTTTCATCATTATTACATCTGAGATTTCACCTTCCTGTTAGTCCTTCTCAGATGTATTCCCAGGCTGCATTATTTTCCAAGTTGAGTTTCCTTTAGTTACTTTGTTTCCATGGTTCTATCTTCTCTGGGAAATTCTTTATTATTTTCTTTGTACACTGTCTTTCTGTCTTTCACACTCATACCTGTGAGTTTCATCAAAGTGCTGTGCATTCTCTTTTCCAGATCATTAATAAAAGAAGTCCAACAGGCTGTTCATAGTCATCCACATGGCAGCCAGGAGACAGTTCCCACCACCTTGCTACATTGCAGCTTATTTCCTGTAATTTCATTACCTCAGCAACTTGAAAGCCATATGGAAATGGCAGAGCCAATGTGAATTACTTTTCAGCTAAGATCCTGTGAGATACAACATCATGCCCCTATTAAAGCTCATCTGCACTAGGATAGTCCTCTGTCCTTGCTCAAGGCCCTGCACCCAAGGCTCACTGAAGACAGAGTGACCATTAGGAACAGAAACTGGATTTATGAGTACCCTTGCTGTTGTTTAAGGTGGTAATGTTAATATTTTCCTCTGCTTTAATTTTTCAGTTATATGTCTTGTGCACAATGAATATAAAGGAGCTTAGCTAATTCTTTTAAGTCCTGTAGAATGCATGTTGTCTAGGTTTTTTTATTTGTTCACATTTCCCCAGTGTGTTTCCCGTATGTCCTTCATTAGTTGTTGCAGTTTCTTTCACAGGATCCTCATCCCACTCTCCTTCAGTGCTCCTAGCATTTCTTCCTATTTCTTTTCCACTGAGGAAATACTTGAAAAGAAACTTAATGTCAGAGGCATTTCTGAATCTTTAATTTACTCTTCTCATGTGTGAATGGATCTGTTCTCACTAGCATTATTTTTCTTCAAAGAATATTTATTATAGCCTTTGAAAGAACCACAGTCAATCTCCTTGAACTCTTTGCATAACATAAAATTTTGTAATATGTTTTTTTCAATTTGGGAGGGTTGAAGGTTTTGGGGAGGGGTGTCTTTTGGGTTTGGGATTGGGTTTAAGGTGTGTTTATATTTTACTAGTAATTCTTGATTGATCAAATAGTCATATGAGAATAATTTGTCTATTTATTTAGCTCCACTATTTCTGTGAGGAAAATGAAATCCTTGTTGTGAACCAACATTTACTCCATAACTTGATACAAGTTTTATTTTTCTGAAGCACTGGTGAACTCAGTGTTTGAAATTAGCATAAATGACCTGGATTTTTTATGCTACACCCCGAAAGTGGATTAGAGTATATCTAGTTTTTCTTCGTTTCATCATTTCCATGTATAATTACAGTTAGTGATCTCCAGAATAAGATGAAATGGAATGATTTTGCACTCTTTAAATTACACAGCTAAAAAAAAATTATTAGAAACATAGCCTTGGATGACATTAACTTCTTCAAATAATTGATGAGAGAAGGAGTAGAATATGATAGCTATCAGAAACGAGCCTTGGCTCTCAACACAAAAAGGAAGTAAGAAACACCGCGAAAGACAAATTTATGTCTCATATTGCCTCTGTGACACTTCTTTCAGTTTGAAAGATTTTGGTAAGTGATAAGTAATAAGCATAAATGTCTTAAGGAGCAGACAGGTATTGCTATCTCTCCTATTAAAGGTGGGAAAGCAAAGGGATGTCAGTGAGGCAAACTGATCGTGTGGCATGAACAAGACCTATAGTGGGGTAAAAAATAAAAAAATCTCTTATTCTGTTTACCCAACATTCTTTACCATTTAATGTGATATATTAAAAAAAATAACAAGCACACAAAAGAACTAGGAAATAATGTTGCAGGAGATTCTCCTGTTGTCAGGAGAAATGCATGAGACTGATCTAATAATTCACGTTTCTAATACTTAACATTCTGAGTTATATTCCTGGATAGAGCAATTTTTTTGAGATGCTGTCTTGTTCTATCAACATCTAAGTTCAAGTTATTAGGGATATTCTTACAGTGACTAATTTGATCACAGATAGGGCTCACTCTTTCAGAAGTTCTTTGGAATATGCTGCAACGATTGCCTGTAGTCCTCCCAGATATGGTAGCAGTGCACTGTAGCTGGGTTAATTGACAGAACTATTGTT